ACTGTCCTTTCCCTATTTAATGGTCTTGGCACTCTTCTCATAAAATAATTTGACCATATATGTAAGAGTTTATTTCTGGGCTCTCTATTCCATTGGTCTATATGTATGCCTTTATGCCAGTAGCACACCGTTTTTATTATGGTAGCTTTGTACTAAGTTTGAAATCAGGAAGTGTGAATCCTCCAGCTTTGTTGTTCGCTTTCAAGATTGCTTTGCCTATTTAGAGTTCCTCGAAGTTCCATATGAATTTCAGGATGAGTTTTTCAATATCTGAAAAGCCCATCACTGATATTGTGATGGGGATTGAACTGTAAATCACTTTGAATAGCATTAATATCTTAATATTAAGTATTGCAATCCATGAACATGGGATGTGTTTGCATTTTTTTCCCATTCCTTTTATCATTGTTTTGAAGTTTTCATTGTACAAGTCTTTCACCTCCTGGTTAATTCCTAAGTATTTTATTCTTTTTGATGATATTTAAATGGAATTGTTTTAATTTCTTTTTCAGATTGTTCATTGTTAGTTGTGTAGAAACACAACTAATTGTTTTATGTTGACTTTGTATCCTGCTACTTTGTTGAATTCATTGATTAGTTCTAACAGGTTTTTGGAGGAATCTTTAGGATTTTCTACATATAAGATCATATAATCTGTGAACAAAGATAATTTTACTTCTTCCTTTCCAGTCTGAATGCCTTTTGTTCCTTTTTCTTGCTTAATTGGCCTGGCTAGAACTTCCAGTACTATGTTGAATAGAATTGGCAAAAATGGACATCCTTGCCTTGTTCCTGATCTTTGAGGAAAAGCTTTCAGTCTTTCACCTTTGAGTATTATGTTCACTGTGAGATTTCCACATATGGCTTTTATTATGTTGAAGTAGTTTCCTTTTATTCCTAGTTTGCTGAGTGGTTTTTTTGTTTTTGTTTTTGTTTTTGTTTTTGTTTTAATCATGAAAGACTGGTTTGCTAGACTCTGAGTGCCTCAACTCTCCTTATTGGTTTCCTCATCCACATCTCTGTGAACTTTTAAATTATCTTTAAAATCTCGGTTGAGGGTTTCTTCTGTTTCCTATCATAATCAGACTCGTAGAAAGCCACCATATTGTCCAGAGGAAATATGTTGGTAGCTGGGAGTGAAGGGTTGGGTGAGGGAAGATGAAGAGGAGAGATGTGCTTCTGCAAAGGAGGTGAATCGGACAAGACTTGGTGATAGATTTGGGAAGTGAGGCAAGGGGGAGATATTTACATTGACCTTGATTTCTAAGTTTTTTCATTTGGATAGGTGATGTGAGAGATCCATATTTAGTAGGGAAGTTTATGAACTCACTTCCTCCAATATTTTATTATGGAAAAAAAGTAAACTAGGAACTAATTCGGGAACTTATTAATTAGGAGTGCCTTGGAGTCACCCAAGAGATGCTATTAAGTGGATATTTGAGTCTGGAGCTTGTTGGAGAGGTATGGGCTACAGATACACATTTCTCAGTCATCTGTGGTAACTGAAGTCACAGGCTTCTGAGTTCATGCTCAGGTTACTGCTTCAAGAAAGCCTTTCCTTCTACCTCTCTATTCCATTCCCACTAACTAGATCGTATGCCCCATACTAGGATGTTATAACACTACTTTTCATTTGTGTTATTAGTTATTTAATGTCTGCCTTCTCAAGTAGAATTTAGTCTCTATGAAAGCAGGGACCATATCTTATTCAGTATAATATTCCAATACCTAACGAAATGCCTTGCACATAGTAGGAATTTTTAAATTGCTGAGTAAATAAATGAACCAACCAGTATTTGGACTTCTTTGGTGCATTGAAGCTGATAGGCACTTGAATGCTCCGAGAATCAGGATTATCCAGGGCTCATCCCTTTGAGCCTGATGTGGAAGTTTAGGTCCCCCTAGCATAATAATAGTTAATGGCTCTGCTTGGTCTAGGCAGTGTTTTATAATTTAGTGCAATGGACCAATGGCTACTCCAATTGGCTCACCTCTGAAGTGTAAAAGTCTCTTTATATTTAACCATATTCCAGTTTATAAGAAACAACCAAAATTGAAAAGTATATGAAAATCTAAACTAAAGACACTGTTGAGACTTATAGCCAGAATACAAGATTCAAAAAACAAGAGGCTATGGATGGGATAATAAATGTAGGGAGGGAGTATGAGCTCAATTCTGCTTGGAAAGATCTAAGACTGCTATATTGCTTCTCCTTAGGCCATTTGGTATCTTCTGGAATTATTTCTAATCTAACGGTTCTTAAACCTTTTGAAATCATATACAATTTTGAGAATTTGCTAAAAGCTTTGCACTTTTTCCTCAGAAAAAATGCTAATATGCACATTTCAGAAACGTATTTATGTGTGTGTGTGTATCTATATATGTAATGTTATCAGAAGCATTCAGGATCCTCTTCCAGAATTTCAGGTTTAAGAATCCTATTCTTAAATAATTCAAAACCAGCTTTCCACAGTCAAGTGTCCAGCTCCTTCTGTTGCCCTGGTGATCTTGGAAGTTGTCAGTTAACTAGTGATAGTGAGGTGTCTGACTGAAGAGCATCAGAGAGAGGGCATGGAGCACAGAGAAAATGGAATGGAGCCATAGTCTTTGCATTTCCCACTGAAACTTTAAATGTATCTGCAGTCTTCTTTAATCAAAATAGCTCAATTTAGGAAACAGAAAGCCCACTTCTTTTTCTTGATAAAATCCTAATTTTATTGCTTCCTGAATGTTTTTCTTCGTAAAGGAGAAATACAAACCATATGTTACAGGGTTCTCAGTTTGACAGCTTAACCAGAGTCATGCTAGGATTCAAGTATTTCTGGTCATAATAGGAAGGCCAGTGGGCTTGGTCTGACAAGGGTCTATTGGCAGGAGAGACTAAGAGAGCCCCTTCAGAATGATCTCATCACAAGGAAGAAACAGTTGGTTTGGGACAATAGGCCAGATCTGAGGATCAGGTGTGATTTTAATACAGTACAATGTCAGTCACTTACTGCCCTGCAGCCTCTGTGGACTTGTGCCTGACCTGAGTAGAGAAACAATAGTGATTATAATGCTAAAAATTTGATTTATGAAAATCTCTGTAAGGCATTGTAAGCAGATGTTGGTGGTGCCCCATCTATATGCCTTCAAAGGCTGTTTATAGTGAACACCAATGCCTTCCTACCCGAGTTTTTTTGTTGTTGTTGTTTTTTCCCTGGAGCAAAAGGAGCAAGTTCAGGTCGTGAGCTGGGCAAGCTAGAAATGCCAAAAAGTTAATGCCCCTAGAAGCAGCCATCAGCCAATGACAGATGACAACTCAGTGAGGAATCTTCCCTTAGCCAATGATGGATGTCGAGTTCCTTCATCCCTCAGGTTGGGATAATTCGGAGGGACTTTCTACACTGTCTCCCAAAGGGCTCCAGCAGGATCGGACTCCAAGGACAACTTGCTTGATAATATACCCTCTGTTGGCTTTCTTCCTAACACTGTCTTACTTTTCCTACTCCCTTTCCACTGTTCCTGGGATTGCCTCCCAGATAGTAAAATGTTTGCACTTAAATCCTTGTCTCAGAGGCTGCTTCTGTGGGAAAACGCCATACTACAAAAGGCATTGAGCATACAAAGCAGTATAAGTTTGGAGTCAGATAGACCTGGATTCAAATTCCCTCTTACCAGTGACAGTAAACAACTTAATTTCTCTAAGACTGTTACTTCATCTATAAAATGGGGATAATAGTACTGACTTTGTCAGGTCAGATTGTAAAAAAATATTTCAGAATGTATGTCAAACATACATTGTGCACAGTGGCTTGTTTGCATACAGTAAGTCCTTAATAAATGTTGGCTATTATCATTAATATGATATTATTCATTAATTAATATTGTTAATACGGCATAGAGCAAGTTGAAGGAAAAGCTCATTTCTCCCATTAGGGTAACTGCTAAAGCAGGGTTTTTTGGCAGATGTGCTGTTATAGAGGCTGGGTCTCAGATGAGCATCTTGGACTTAGCAATATCAGCAACTTAGAGGAAACATTGCCACAGTGAGCCAGAGCAGGAGAGGAGGAAAATGACGGACACCAAGTGGTGGTTTAGAAATGAACAATTGGCAGTAGTGCCACAGTGGTATTGCCTACTGTGCTTAGTATTAACTGATGGCTACAGTACCATCAATGACTTCATATCTGTGTGCAGTACCCACTTTGATGGCTGGGATTTCAACAGCCTCATCCTTGAGGGATTATGCTCAGGGCTACTGAGGGTGAGTTTCTAATTTCAGTCTGTTTTCTCAAATGTACGAAGGACCTTATTGCTTTTATTATGTTTATGAACTTTGTTGTCTTAAGATCTTTCAAATTGGGGCTGTTACCTCTGTTCCCCTGCACTCTTTACTTCCAGGCAAAGTCATATCAAAGAGAAACTGAGAGACTGAGGCAAATTAAATGATTTCTGAAAATCTCTGTAAGGCATTGTAGCAGATGTTGGTGGTGCACATTCCATATGCCTTCCTACCTGAGAGCTTTTTTTTTTTGTTTGGAGCAAAAGGAGCAAGTTCAGGTCATGAGCTGGGCAAACCAGAAATACCAAAAAGTTAATACCCCTAGAAGCAGCCATCGGCCAATGACAGATGAGAACTTAGTGAAGAATCTGCCCTTATGAAGTACAGTGCCAGGTTTCACCTGTAAGTGCCTCAGCCTTTTCAAATAGCTTAAGGTCCCAGAGTGGATGCAAATGATAGGTTGCTTTGGCTAAGATGTCAGACAGCAGGAGGATTAGTTGTTGCCACGCCCCTGCAGGTGAAGCCAAATGACTATGGGGATAGGATATGTTTCAGCTCTTTATTGTTTCATTCTAAGTCAAAATCAAATGCCTATGGTGATATGCCATCATGATCTTTTACTTATTTAGACACTAATAGACAAATTTCTCCCCAATTCAGTAAAGAGATATATGTATATTAGAAAAAGCAAGCTAACGTGATTTTCATACAAAAACCACTTTTAGGAGGGAATAGTATTACAGATAGAAGGGATCCAGCAACTGTGGCACACCTTGTCTTAAGAACAATAGCCGCACAGCCTGGTAATCTCATCTGCCTCCTGGGAGAAAGAAAAATCTTTCTATAACCTTGTCAGAGGTCTTAAACTCATGCAGGGGATTTTCCTGAGAGGGTCCCAAACATCTATATATGATGTCAGGCAAATCTTTTGACTTTAATACTGATCTCTGAAACACTTTATGAGTACTTCTTGGGGCTGCCTGCATTAAAGTGATTGAAGTTTATGTCTTAGTGTTTGACCGTGATCTCCTTGAGGGCAGAATTCAGATATATTTATTTGTATATGCCCAGAACCCAGCACAGTTCCTTCCTAGGGTTGCCGAGTTTGGAGGAAAAAAACTAAGAAAGTATTGTTTATTCAAAATTCACATTTAACCAGGTGTCCTTTATTTTATCTGGCAATCTTATCCCTGGTATATAGCCCACCTCAGTAAAAGTCGGTGAGTAAATGAATAAATGAATGATTAGCATCGTACTAAAAAAATGGAGAAATAAACTGGTAAAAACGTGGATTAACCATGGAAAAGATACTCATCTAAGTTATGCCTAATAATCAAAAACATCAAAACTGTATATGGTTAACATTCTACCTTTGAAAATCTGCCAATTTGGTTTTGACTCGAGATGCATTTTTCTATCCATGCTTCCTCAGCCACTTTTACTCAGTGTCTGTGTGGGAAGAATTCTAATCTTCTGCTAATGTGTTTTGTTCCAATACGTTTACATCTTAATTCTACACATTTTCGATTTCATGTTTGCTTAATTGTTTATTAGCATGTTCCAGTTGTACAAGAAAATGGACATTGGATGGTGTGTGGGATTCAGTCATTCTGAAGCACAATCATCTCTGTATCTTCCTTTAAAATTGCCAAAATTGTGCTTTTACTCCAGCCGAACCCTAGGGTTTTGGGTAAAGTCATTCACCTTGATTAAACCATCAGGACCAATTCTGTTTGGGAAAAAATATATATCTGGGGTTAATTCTTTTAACAATTAATCTTAAGAAAGAATATAAAGGACTCGCACTCTAAAGGAACTCTGCTATGGCTCCTATCCTCATCACCCTCTTTTTCTCTTAACTCCTGACTGCCTGCTCTTCCTCCTCCACTGGTACCCACTGGTCAAACCTGACCATGAGCCAGAGTCACCTGGACGGCTTGCTAAGACACAGATACCTGGGTCCCAGCCCTGGAGTTTCCAACTGACTGGGTACGTTCACTGTGTAGCCTTAGACTATGCATTTCTAAGAGTTCCCAGGTGATGCTGCGCTGCTGGTCTCAGCAGCACTCTAAGAATCGGTTGTCTTACACCATTCTTCCTCCATCCTTTCTCTTTCAGATTCTTATCTTTTTCTTCACGATATTTCTGTTCCTAGAGCAGTGTAACAGTAACCTCACTATATTATCTTGATCTGCTAGATTTATTTTCCCTATATTCTTTCCCCTCCAGTTGGTAAAAGTTTACTTACATTTCCTGTTCAATGTAGCTTAGCATTCGGCTGACGTGCGATGCAGAGATCTCCCCGTCCACTTCAGCAATGTATGTGTAGAGAAACTGGAAGGTACTGAAAGGGATCCTGGGAGGTCCACCATCATGGTCAGATGATAAAACTTCACACACTATCTTAAGAGTTTTGGAAATAGTCTATAAAGTCATAAAATGGAATGAAGATAAAGTCACTATTCCAGACTAGATTCCTAAGATCAGTTTAGATACTACAAAGAAAAGTTTTACTCTCATAAAATGAAGTTGGGATGATATATTATTGAAAGTGAATTTTTAGACCTAAATGTCATTTAATTAAAAAAATATATATTGATCTACTGGGTGTCTCTTTTTTATATTCCTTTCCTTTCTGTGTTGGAGGGTTACTCTCAAGGAATTAAGTTTATAAACTGCTGAATACTTTAAGATATTTATTACTTTTATCAGAATAGCCTTACTAAAAGAGAATTTGATTTGCATTCTATATTCTTATAGTTCTCCAATCTTATCTTCAAAGGGATGAGGTGATTAGTTTAGCTTACATATTCCCGTGAGCTACTTGGAGCCGTGCCACAGGAGTGGAAAGGGGGTGGGAGAAGGGCACTTTCCTTGGGAAGATAAGAGTCCCAGATGCAAGAAAAGTGACACTGAACATCATGATAAAAACCAGTTCTTCTAAAACATGTGGATCCATCTAATCAGAACCACCCAGTACTTTATATGACATAATAATAACCTTGTAGTTTCTGGGAAAAATTAATAAATGAATGCCAGAAGGTTTAATGGAAGGGTTGCTACAGAAGCAAACACTCCTTACAATGAAACTTGAACATTAAAATATTATGTTCAGAACTGAGGTTTTACTTACTTTGTCTTTAAATAAACCTATCCTTGGAATAAAGGATAGGTTTTGAAATGATGGGATAAAGAAAAGAAATGATTCAAAGGATTATTTAGGTCTGGATTAGCAAAGATAGGTCAGCATATATCTTGATAGTTTACTAAAACATGTGCAGATTCTCCTTACATACTTTCCAGGGATCAGGGAAAAATTAGTCCTGAGTGGTGAACTGGGTGAATGAACAAGCAGCTGCTAAAACTGGCCGGCATTGTTCTTCTCTTGCAGTTGCTGTTTGCTCTTCTGTCCCCTTCCTCCCCAAGTGTAATGGATATCCACATGGTGCTTCTTTAACTGTGATGTGTGGTACCCAGGAATGTAAGTCTGTATGTCAGGAGGTATATATGAGGATGCTGAATAAACTTGGCCCATCTTCCCGGAGTGACAGTTTTACCTGATGGCAGGTAATTTACACATTTATTGTATTAATTAATTAATTGTTCATTTTAATTGATTTAATATTTAAATTTTGTTTCTTTACATTTACAAATGTTGCTGTTTTATGAAACTGAATCTTCGATATACTTGAATTTTAAAATGATAAGCCATGGATGGCAAAGAAATGTTAGGTTTGCAGCAAGCCACTTTTAATTCCTGTCTCCTGCCCTTGGGAGTCCTCTCCTGCTAAGTGTTGTGAAGCCGTGTATGAGGCAGTGCGCCGGCCACTTCTGTGAGGGAGGTTCGAAGGCTGGGCATACAGGAAACTGGGTAAGAGGCTGTCAGTGAGAATGGGAGGGCAAGTATGTGAGATGAGGTCAGTATGCCAATGGTTTTAGGTAGATTTGCAAGCACATGTTCACTGAACGTCATAATTTCCGTCCATAGCTCATTTTCTCTTGCTTCTCTTAAAAAATAAAAAAACCCTATTCTCCTATTGCCTCTGTTCTGTTCTCTTCTTCCTGCAGTCATACCCAAATTGGAGTGCTGTTATAGGGCTGAACTGTGTCTGCCCAAAGTTCATACGTTGAAGCCCCACACCTCCTAATATTTCAGAATGTGACTGTATTTGAAGACAGGGCCTTTAAAGAGGGAACTAAGCTAAAATGAAGTCATTAGAGTGGTCCTTAATCTAATAGGTCCGGTGTCCTTATAAGAAGAGGTGATTAGAAGACAGAGAGGGGGGATGGAGAGATAGAGGAGATAGAGAGCAAGAAGGAGAGCAAGGGAGGGAGGCAAAGAGGGGAGAAGGGACGAGGAGAAGGGAGAGAGCGAGAGTGAGCAAGAGCGACTAGACAGATGCACACACAGAGGGACAAGCACGTGAAGAAGGAAGGAGATGATGGCCATTTACAAGCCAAATGAGACTTGTCTCAGACATACCTTGATCTCAGATTTCCAGCCTCTAGAACTGTGAGAAGATAAATTTCTCTCATTTAAGCCACCCAGTCTGCAGTACTTGTTATGGAGCCCTAGCAAACTAATATAGATGCTTTCTATCCCAAACTCCTTTCATCGATGCTTCAAACAACAAACCTTCAAATTCTATTGCTCTCATAAGATTTTAGAATAGTTTAAAAGATTTACTAAATGGATGAATGGATGAAAAAACTTGCTGGTCTGGAGTTTTTTGGTTAACTTAAATAAATCTAATGTAAACAGAAATCTGTATTCTGTCGCGTAAGATTTTTTGGTCAGATAGGAATCCCCTTATAAGAGATAACCTTTAAGCATCTTATGAGCCACATTTTCAAACTTAGAGATGAAAGACTCAGAAAGTGAATTATTTGCTAATAAAATACATCATTCCTTCCAATGAACACGATTACATGATTGCTTTTATGTAATTGGTCTCAGTGGAACAGGAGGTTGTGTAAGCTATCCTAGAAAAAGAGAAAGCTGAAAAGGAAGAGGAATGCAGGTCTGCATGCTATAGCATTTTGAATCACATGGGTAGACTCAGAGCTCAAGACTGGGGTAAATACACCTGCTACCTAAAATTCCTGCCATTAGACTCTTCTATACAGAAGGAACTGAATTTTCTAAATGGAACAGAGATGATGGCTGACTGGTGAGTTGGCAAAGAAAGGAGGAATTTCTGGGCTTGTGTCTAAGGATGTATGGATTAATTAGAATGCAAATCCTCCTCCAGCTGGTGATACCCTGACCACCCCCACATTTAAGCTCCCAGCAATAGTCCAATATGAAACAAGTGGGTATAATGGTATTGTTTCCTGGATTCATAGGGCACCCTTTATTTACAGACTAGACCTTCAGGCTGACTTCACCTCTAAGTATTCTTTGACATCGAAATAATGAGAGGCAAATTCAGATACCTCAAGACCTCTCAGAATTGGAGGGGTCCACTGTTATCCAGAGCCGGGCCTGAGAGTGTCTCAGTGGAAGCAGAGGAGGGAGAAAAGAATCACAGAATGCGAGAGATAAAAGAATCTCATGGAACATCTAATTCAACCTCCTCGTTTTAGCAAGGAGATAGAAAGATACAATTCACCTTATGGTTTCCCCTCTCCAATTTGAGAGGCAGCCATATCAAAGAAAACGTAGCCGCTACATAATGAGCTAAGCAGAGGGAGTGTTGGAATTTGGCTTTCCAAAGTCACTCTTGGTTATTGTGAGATACTTGGACAGGAGAGACTCAGACATCTCACGAGGTGGTGAGGGGCTGTGAAGTAGAACACTGAGGCCAGGCAACGGATGAGGGCAACTTAGAAGAGACTAAAGGATGCCCTGAGCACCACAGGAACACAGGTGAGCCAGTGGAGACTTCTGTGCTGTGAGAGAGGAAAAACCAAAGACTTAAGTTCCAGTTAGCGACTACAAGACAAATATTTATTTCCATGCAGATCAGAGGTGCCAGAGAAGACCGAGAGACTTGGGAAACGCTTCACCTGACTGCTCTGAGGTCCTAAAGTCACTGCTTTCTTTATACACTCAACTGCCATCTTAAAGAGAGGAGCAATGAAGAGAAACCTGAGAGATTGGACGATTTACCTTAAAGCTGTTTTAGTTATTGTATCTGGTGAAAATTCTTGGATTAAATTGAATCTATTTATTTTCTGACTCTACCCTTTGTGAGTTGGGTAGATCACCCCTAACATCCCTGAATGTGGTGTGAATAAATTCGTGACTCTTTGATAAAACGTGTCAAGTTTTTATTTTTTTCTTCTGTGATTTTCCCCCAATTCTTGGGGATATTTCCACAGAAATATGATTAGCAACTCGCCTGCCCCTGCTGAATTTTTCTCTCCTCTTTGGAGGAGAGTAATTTATTCACTATATAAAGTTGCTATAAAAAACAACGAAGACAAAAAAACCCACGGAATGGCCTCTCCTCTCCTCTCTAAAGAAATGATTATGATGAAAATTGCAGGGAAAACCCATAGGGAAAGTTGGACTACAATATTTCTGGTACTTTTTCCCAGAAGCTAAAATGTCAAATATGCATTTCAAGCCTATTTGAGATGAAAGAACAAGATCGTGTTTAGATAAACCAAATGATTCAAACTACCTTCTCATGCCATTTGGTTTTGGCAGAGGCAATAATTTTCTCATTAACTTTTAAACTTGTATGTATTTCAAGACTTTTAAAAAACCATGTTTCTGATTAATTTTATTTAATTTATTATAACAGTGTTTAACAAGAGTGAGTCACGTATGCTACCTAAAGCTTTTAAATACACACACACACACACACACATATAAACTGGTTGCAATACCTTTTTCTTTAAAACAAGAAAATGGCTTTTCTGATTGTAAACCAAGTCAAATTTGGAGAAGGCATTAATTTGTATTAGGACCCTGTATCCATAATGATGTCATAACTGTAAGTCTGGAAATAGCCTCATCTCTCCCTTCCTGCTCTCTTGTCTCTGATTTTTTTATCCAAATATGCTTCTCAAATATCTTTTTATAATGCTGCACCTCTTCTAAAAGTGTCTTATTGGTATATCTTCTAGGTGTCTGGCACTCAAGTGAATCTTATTCTACAACTGGATGTTGATTATCTTTAGGAATATGAATGGAGGGAGTGAAGTGGTGATGGAAATAAATCTAGGTGCAATGATTAAAATTCATAAATAAACCAAAAGCCACATTTAAGTCAACCTCTCCCCAGAGCCTAATGACAGATTTCTCCTCTCTTTCCTCCTAACCTCTACTTTTGGCTGATGAGTGGAGAAATGACTTAATTCAGACAGGAGAAAGAGTATAAAGAAGAGGCAAGCTAATCATCAGCCCTGGGGAGTTGACTGTGTGTATAGATACACTATCCTTCCAGGCCCAGAGAGAAACTTTCTCTTAAGGACAAAAAGCATTAAAGTGAACTTACGACACCAAGAGAGCTGCAAGCAAGGGCTAAAAACTTCAGCCACTCAATCTCCTCCGTGAAGCGGCCCACATTCATCACACTATTAAACAGATCTGTTGGTAGACTCAGCACCTTCCACATCTGGGCCAGCTCATCAACATGGATGATCAGTCTGCCACCAACCTGCAGGGCAAGAGACAGATACAAGACAGAGAATGAAGGACAGGAGGAGAGCATGCCCTGAGAAACACCTGCCCAGGCAAGGCCCTGTATTCTTGCAGCACACAGCAACGGATGGGGGTATTGAGGGAGAAAGGGGACTCTGATTGGCACTTCTCTTTGCAAGGGTATAGAAATAGCCAGTAAACAACAATCTGATATATGATTTAATCATTTTAACTTCAGCTGTCCCAATTATGGGGAACATGTACATTTATATTTTAATTTCTTTCTGATGTTTTTATTATCTGCTGTTTCATTCCTGGTTGTCCCTGTAAGACAGATAGTGCAGCTGGAAAATGAAACCAAGGGGCAAAAGACTGTCTGAGACTAAAATTAGTGGTGAAACTAAAACTGGATGTTATCTCTTGCCTCTAGAGTCCACTGAATTTTTTGCACTGGACCACACATGCACCCACACATGCACACGTTTCCCAGGAATAACATGGGGTCTGTGGTCTGTATGCCACATGTGGTTCGGTTCCAGGTACCTCAGACTGCGCCTTGTCCACCGCACAAGTTGCCGGGTGGTTGAGAGGAGAAGGGAATGAATGGCCGCTTGTTGGCCAATAATGTGATAAGGGTGTAGATACCCTGGTGAAACCTAATACACCTTCTCTGGCCCTCTGATCCTAGAGAAATGCTAAACCTCTGACAGTTGGCTAAATCAATCCTGACTCCCTCCACACCACTCTGTCCTAGATCCTAAGGCAGGGTATAGTGGCACTAAACCACACTTCCTCATCCATTCAGCAAGCAGCTCCCAGAATAATGTGGCTGTAAAGAGAGGCAGGGTTTTCCCTGAAAGTTAGGCTATGTCCACACCTGGGATAACTGGGGAATGATGACACACCCCTTCCAAACTGTGATTGTCTTCATCTTATGGTCTTGATCAGGAAAGGGATAGTGTTAAGAGATGTGGACCTGCACTTTCCGGAAAGAAGGGATTAGCATCTCATGGGGCCCCTGGGCATTCTACCAGCTTCAGGGACATCTGGGATGACCCTGCTGATAACTTAACTTACTGCCCACTTCAGTATCATTCCTATTTCCCCCAGGGAAGAGTTACTTTCAGTGCATGGCTTAATGCACTTTAGGATGATGCTGAGTGGCCAGCTGACTTGAGGAGGGAATGGTGGGCTTCTGTCTGTACCCACCTGGCCTCAACACTGTCTCTGCATTCCCACTTGACACTGAAGTATGGCCCTTACCCTAGAATGCAGGATCTTCAACAGCTCAGGTGTAAGTTCTGCCCAGGTGGACAAAGCAACTCGCTCAGAACGCTCTCTCACTGGAGGAATCTCTCCTTGGGACATAGCCCCAAAATACCTACAAGAAAAAGTTTCTTCATTGACAGCACATGTGCAGGGACATTCTTGCTTGTGATGAATTAAATTTATATTCTGTCTTGGAAAGACTTTGCGGAGTTTTTTGCTCTAAAATGCTGCAGGTTTGTAAGTTACATAAAACCATCTGTGAAGAGCTTTTTGTGTCTGAATAGATGGAGAGTGCTCTTAGGTCCTCTCCTTTTTTCACTGTAGTTGAACTACAAACTGATCATTCATGGATATCTAAAAAATTTATAGCAAACGATACAATACGGGAGCAAGCAGGCTACAACAGTGGAATGTTTTCTTACATAAATGTCAGGGACGATACCAAGAAATATCATTTTTCTTGCTATAAAACAGCAGCACAAGAACAATAAAATGGGGTTTTAAACTACTGTATGGTATAAAACAAAATCAGTCTCAGATGCCAAAAGAAATTTGTCTTCTGACGATGAAGTTCAATCTTTGAGGTAATATATAAAATTCAGAATGGAAAGCTAAACAAGCCTCGTTACTAGTAAGACAACTCCATTCATGTCTCTTTTTATGAGCACCGCTGGCTTATTTCCCTTCCATTCGAAAAAGGTTCATCATCGTCCAACCTAGGAGCATGAGCACACTGGATCCGAGCCCCTGGAAGGCTCCTCTTAGATTCTATTGTATGCCTTCTCAAGATTTTACCACCTTCCCACCACCTGCTCAATACACCTACTCAACCTCATGCTGAGGACATGCTCCCCTTCTACCAATCCACCAGCTCCACTCAATGGCCTCTCTTATTCCCCTTTCCCACTGAAATGCTACTAAGGAGGTCATCAAACAGTAAAAATAGCCTGAAAATGGTCCGCTTAACTCCCAACTCCTGCCCCAAGCCAGAGTTTTCCCAGTTTCAAGCAGTAGCTTCGTCTAAGAAGCAATTTCAAAACTGAGAGGCTTTCTATATAAAGCTGTTTCAATCCTGGCCAGCAGTTTTTGGGTAAGCACCTTCCACTGAGCAGCCCCTGGGTAGTCTCTCCTGACAAAGGGCGACTGTGTTAGAGGCACACTGTTTTCAGCCAGACCAGGTGCTTCTACTGCCCTCGAAGCTCTGTTTTGCCTCCTTTCTCCGGAATGTAGTGTGCACTGTGTGGACATCTTGTTGTTGAGGGAACAAGTCGGTTGAAAGAAACACGAAAGAGAATAACAGTTTCCCAAAAAACAAGATACAAAATGTCTCCGATTGGGGCAAGCAGTGGAGGAAGGTGCCTTTTGAAAGCAGTGAACCAGCTTGCACCGGTCCCACGCGATCCATCCCGCCCGCTCGTAGCCCCGCTCCCTTAGGTGCACTGCTGCCACCTAGTGGTGAGGTCCGAGGACTCCCTGGTTTACACCAGAGAAGGGCCCGCTAAACCCCAAGAGGATTCTGAACTCTACTGGAACAGGGGCGGGACTTGCAGGGACAGGGTGCTGTGTGCGTGTGCTCGTGTGATATGACAATCTAACTCTTGCTGATTACTCCAGGACACTCCTCTTATTTCCCTGGTGTCCTATTGCTCAGTCTGCTTCCCGTAAGGAAGGGCATCTCATCCTTGCCCAATTTGATGGATTTGTGTGTGGATTTTAAAGCACCAAATCAAGCTGAGAGCTGAACATCACAAATATTATGCTAATCAGTCCCAACTCCTAGGATGCTGCCATGACAACCTCCTATTAGTTTCCCAAGACCTTCCCTCCTCCACCTCCACCTGCAATGGGAACCAGGGACTGGAGGTGAGAAAGGAGCACGTACTCTGCAGCCCAATGGATGAGATCCGGCGGCTGTGTCCGAATGGCGGCTTTGGTAAATTGCTTCAGCAATTCCGGCAGCTCCGGGGGAATGCATATTTGCTTATCCGTCTGAGGCATTGATTGGATGACCTATTGGCAGAGGAAAAACATAGTAAAGAAATAGAAAATCTTTGACATCTTCAATATTGGGGAGTTCACAACCCCAAAAGACAGATGCATTCTATTGCTACACAACCCAGAGGTTAGTAAGTGGTTTACTAATCCCTTTTTGTTGTTGTAAATAATTCTGCCCTTTACATAAAAACACACGTAATACTTGTTCATTAAAAAGTAGTGATCAACAAAAAGCAAGCAAAGTTATCCTCTTATGATGCCATGCAAAAATATTGGGTGTCTGCTTCCAGAATTTTTTCAATATAAATATATACTTGTACAAAAAAGAATGATGTCATACAAAACATCTTATTTACTCAACAGCATATCATGAACATCTTTCATGTCACATCAACTCTTATTGGCAGAATAAGAGTTGTAGCCAAATTTACTCTGAATCCTCTATTATGATATTAGGTAATCTCCAAATAAAAATAATCATTAAACAGCCATTTGATGAACACCTCTCTTTACATCTGTATGTACTTAACTACTTTGTAAAAGAGAAAACTTGTACACTTCACTCAAAAATTTCCAGAACAAGTTGAAACAAAATATGAAAATCCAAAAATTGTATACAACTCTACATACAAATAACAGATTAAAAGATTCTGTTTGCTTTTAGTAGAGAAAGAGTCTAGATATTCTGAAAAGCCCTCTTTCTTCAAAACACCTAGATGTTAGACAAACTCCAGCAAACTATACCTTTCAAATTGCCTTAAGCTGAAAGATAGAGGAAAACTCTCAAGTGCCAAATGAAGTAAGTAAAGCAGAAACCAGAATCGTAAGTAAATGAAATTAGGGGCAAGTGGAGATGCTGGGAACATGAACCTTTTAGACAAATGGCCAGGCAAGTTACGGGCAGAGCAGGTCTTGGGCCCACAAAAAGTAAACAGCTGAACTGAGAGACTCTCTTACACACCACTAGCCCTCCCCCACACCCCTGAAACTTGAGACCCTCCAATGTTCACTCACCCTTAGTGTGAAAGGGTGGGACTCAAAATATCTGCCTACTGGCAGGGGGAAGGGGCACAGAAATCTATCTCCATTGTTGTTTCTTGTTGGAAACTGTGATTGTCTTTTATGAGTTTGTAGCCGCGAACTAGGTTTAAGTTTTAAATTGATACCACCAGGCTGGTTGGAAAATCTCAAAACAAAAAATTAAAGTGGCCTCAGGTTAGTGGTATTCCTTTATCTTTTATGTTCTTTTATTTGGAGGAAGAGGAGTATTAATTTCAGACTTCGTAAAAAGTCAGATATGCAAGTATGCATAGTAAAATTTCAAAGATAATTACTATAAAAGTAATATCACTACCAAACTAGTAGAGAAGAAAAAAGGAATTAAAAATAGCAGCAGCAAAACAATTTGATCCAACCAAAAGAAGGTAAGAAAGGAGAAGGGAAAGCATAAGAAAAGTGGATAAATAA